GAGGCCCAGAGAGGGGAAGTGACCTGCTGAAGGCCACACAGCAATTTAGGGCAGAACTGAGGTTGCAACCCAGGTTCTGACTCCCAGAGCAATACTCAGTTGACATGGAGCCTATGACCTATCAGCACATCTCTAATGTGAAGGGAGTTGAGATGGGAGGATCCCTCCCCACAAAACACGTGATATGGTGCCCAGGGGAGAGCTTCAGAAATGCAAAACTAAATGCAAAACTTGTATTAGATAGCAGACTCATTTTTAAAGCCAAGTCAGCCTGGCTTTAATGCCATGCAACATTTTCTCCTTAAAGCCCAGAGGCCTGGCAGCTGGAGAGGAGAGGCTCTGAGGGCAGATGTAGATCAGCCCACACGGAAGCCGTGCTGATCACTCTTCATGATAGCACTGGTGTCTGGCATACCTACCAGTCTCCGGGGCTTGGTGAGTGGGAGACCCCTAATGCTTCCGTAAAAATGGATTTCTGGGCATACAAAGCAGAGACAGTGTGGCACAAACAGAAGCAGCAATGGATTGAGAGCTGTGTTTGCACCTTGGTTTGGTGCTTATTAGCTGGGTGCCTTGACCTCAATAGGCACCAGGTTCTTCTTCTGTCTCATGTGATAATTATTACCAAGACTAAGTGAAATATCGCCCTGAAAAGCATTTTGCATGGCGTCTAGTATGCAGGAGTTGCTCAGTAAACACGGGCTTCCTTCTCCTGCCCCCTAGACCCTACCAATGCTCCAATGCTCCCCACCTTGTGAGGCCCTACCTAAGCAACGATCTGCCTTTGACATTGACTCACAACATGGGCCAAGGCCCTAGTAATGTGAGAAATCCCTGGGGCTGTGCCAAGGAGGGAAGAGGGGATAGTTCCCTGGAGTCATTCCCCTGGGATTTGGAATCACATTTTATGAGCAAGCCCAGTTTGCTTTCTCCCTGTCTCCCTCTGGGACCTGCATGAGGAAGGCTCGGCTCCACTAAGGTGCTATCGGTGACAGGGACCCTCTGGAGAATGGGATGGCACTGGGTGAAAGGACTTTTGGAAGTGGTGGTGGAGGAAGAATAATATTCCTGCAGGGTCACTGAACTGGTAGTCTCCCACCCCGAGCACACCAGGCTCTGGTTGCATCCCCAGGGGACTCACCTGCAACATGATCCCTCGATCTCCTTTGGCACCCTTGGGGCCATTCAATCCTGGACGACCCTGAAACCCACAGGAGACACCTTAGTAAACCCACTGCCCACAGGCCAGACTGGCCCACAGGTCTTCCCCTCACATCCTGTCTGAGGAACACCGATACCTACAGGTCGGCCGGGAAGGCCAAATTCTCCTTTGTGTCCTGGTGGTCCTTTGGGCCCCTAGAGGTAAAACAAACACCAGATCAGAAAAGAACAGAAACTCTGTGTTCTGGGAGATGGAGGGTGCCTGCCTGCATCTGTGGACAGCTGTGACCACCACTAACAGGAGTGGGAAGGGGGCAAAGGGCAGTGACAAAGTACCCACCTGCCCGGCTCCTTGTCTCTGGCCTCTTTGCTCTCAGCTAGAAGCACCAGCTCAGCCCCATACCACACCTCACTTTCCTATAGGTTCCTACCCATCCCAAACTTTGGATCCAGCCCCTTAAAGTCCGGGCTAACCAGGGATCAAGAGTCAGAAGCCCAGGGCTCCAGCTCCCTGGTAGCTGGGTGCTGGCCAGCCCAAAATGAGGACCTCTGCCCCAGGTCTTAGGTCTCAGGGCTCACCACATCCCACATTATGAATCATGCAGCCCTGGCTTGCCCCTCAGGCCAGCCCTGCCTTAATAACCCACTCCAGGATTTGCTTCCTGCCTTGTTCTGACCTATTCCTAGGGACCAAAGTCTTGGCTTGGCACCCTAGTTCTCCAGCTAAGTCCCTGATCCATGGGCCCTATTTCAGTCCTGTCCTTCCAAGTTCTTATGCTTCTGGAGCCACTGTTCTATTCCAGCCTCCTTCAGGGGCTGGGGTGCAGACTGCTTCCATTCCTTGACTCTGCCATCTCATGAAGTCAGGGTCATGCTGGTGTCTTCCAGCTGGCAGAGGTGGGGGAGGGGGAAGAGACCAGGTTCTACTCCTGGTCTGCACCTTCCCACTCCCATAGCTGGTCTGCCCTATCTCCTAGAGAAATGAATGGTTGAAGTTTGGAGTCCTCCAAATCCCCTCTTCCTATTATTATTTGCCCTGAAAAATAGCAAATAAAAATTGAGTTGAAACAGATCTGGTGTGTCAAGTACCCAGTCCATGGTACTTGGAAAGGAAAACAAATGTAGGAGGGGCTAACAGGGCATAGGCCACTGTTTAGTATGCTCTAGTGCAGGCGTCCTCAGACTTTTTAAACAGGGGGCCAGTTCACTGTCCCTCAGACCACTGGAGGGCCAGACTGTGGGCCCCAGGATAAGTCGGCTGCTAAGCAGGACAGGCAGCGGTGGCAAAAACACCCGGCGGGCCGGATAAATGTCCTAAGAGGGCTGTATGTGACCTGCAGGCTGTAGTTTGAGGACGCCTGCTCTAGTGCAATACTTCCCAAACATCAATGTGTGTAAGAACTCCCGGATCTTGCTAAAATTGAGATCAAGCGTGTCTGAGGTGGGGCCTGAGGGTCTGTACTTCTAAGACGCTCCTAAGTGACGTCACTGATGCTGGTGCATGGACGATACTTTGAGTAACAAGATCCTAGTAGCTTTGAAGGAGAGTCGTAAGCTATACTAGTTACCAGGGCCATTGCTGGCCCATATGGTGCCTTTATGCAAATTAGAAGAAGGTGCCCCTTAATCGCCTGTGTTTGGTAAGTTGTGCATAAGCCAGGCCTCATGGGGAACAACCCCATGGTTTCTATAGAAGCCTGCTGGCCACCATTTGCTAATGATTTGTATTTTCCACAATATTGGAGGTTAGTATGTAATTAACCAGTGGTTAACACAAGACTCTTCCAATCTGCCCTAGCCCTCAGCTATCTCCCTCCAGGGTGTCTGTTCTTTGGTTCCTTAAATCAGAAAGTCTCAGAAGGTCTTCTGAAGGATGCACTTGGTGGTTGAGGGTCATTCATCAATTACATGTGTCTGTTACAGAAATGTGAGGTGCTTTTTTCCCACAACCGAGATCCAGCTTCAATCAGACAAACCTATATGTATTTCTCCAGCCCAAAATGTTTCAAAAGAATCAAGGCCAGCTTATTCATTGGAGGTATTGGAGGTGTGGTAGAAAGAGACTGGACCTAGAGTCCACTACGGTGGCCTCAAGTCACCACCCTGTCACTTAAGCTATGTGACAGTGGGTAAGCCACTTAACCCCTTTGAGGCTTGGTTTCTTCATATATAAAACAGAGGTTCTGATATTTAGATCTTACAGTTGTGAGGATGAAATGAGATGACCTATGTGAAGTCTCAGGAGAGTTTCTGATCCCTAGTGGAGCCTCTACACCTGAACTTTCTTTGTTCTTTAGGGAGGAATATATGACAGGGAAGTTAGGGGTTACCCTTGAGACTATTTGAAAGCCCAAAGGGTACAACAGCAAGGCCAGAAGGGCCCTAATACCATCTAATATCAATTCAAGCCCTTCAACATACAGATGGGAACACAGAAGCCCAGACAGAGAAAAGGGCTTGCTCACGGTCTCACAGCAAATGAGTAGTAGATTCAGAGGTAGGATCCCAAAGCCAAGGAGATCTTGTGGGGTTCCTTTGAGGGGTTCCCTAGGCAGTTGGCTGCTTTTAACTAACTAATTCTGTGGAATAATTATGAGTGCCCACCACCACCTGGTTCTCCTCTCCTTCCTGGACACACAGACGAACTATATTCTGAAGCTTCAGGCACCTGAGTTCTGGCCAGGAGAATGCACTAGAAGTGGATGATTTCATTATCTCCACACATTGACGTCCAGGAAGTATTGCACCAACCAGTGGCCTGTGCCCTGTTAGCCCCTTCTACATTTGCTTGTCTCTCCCTAAGAGCAATAAGGACCAAGTAGTTTACATGCCAAACCTGTTTCAGTTCTTATTTGCCATTTTTCAGGGCCAATAATGGTAACAGGAAGAAGGGACTTGGAGGACTCCAAGCTTCAACCATTCATTTCTCTAGGAGATAGGGCAGACCTAGCTACGGGAGTGGGAAGGTACAGACTAGGAGTAGAACCTGGTCTCCTCCCCCTCCCCCACCTCTGCCGGCTAGAAGACACCAGCATGACCCTGACTTCACAAGATGACAGAGTCAAGGAATGGAGGCATCCTGGGTCCCTGACACACTCCTTGGAAGAGAGATGCCCAACTGGAAACAACCACAGTGGACTTTGTAAGAGTAAAAAATAATCTGCTATTGTGTTAAACTACTGAGATTTCATTTTTAATTTATTTATTATTTATTTATTTATTTTTGAGACAAAGTCTAAACTCTGTCACCTGGGTAGAGTGCCTTGGCATCATAGCTTGCAACAACCTCAAACTCTTGGCTTTGGCAATCCTCTTGCCTCAGCCTCCCAAGTAGCTGGGACTAAAGGCATCCACCACACCACCCAGCTAATTTTTCTTTTTTTAGTAGAGATGGCGTCTCACTCTTGCTCAGGCTGGTCTCAAAATACTGAGCTCAGGCAATCTATCTACCTTGGCCTTCTAGAGTGCTAAAATCATAGGTGTGAGCCACTGCACTCAGCCACAGTTTTATTTTAATAACTGTCAGCTTATCGTAATATATGCACGTTTTGCCACATCCCTTGAATTTTCACAACTGTCACAACTAAATCTAACTAAACCAAAATACAACAAATGTTTCAAACCCCAGCCCACATCCAGCTGAGAGACACTCTGGCTCACCATTGGTCCAGGGGCTCCGTGCACTCCAGGTTCACCCTGAAACAGAAGGTATGTTATCACTCACCAGAACACTATTTGAGGTGGAAATGATGGGAAGCCAGAGCAGATATGTGCCTGGAGGGCCTAGTGACATAATTACCTTTTTCCCCATCAGCCTTTCCAGAGAAATGTCCCCTGTCAGGATGGCACCTGGTTCTCCTTTCTCGCCCTACAATTCAGAGAAGTGGTCAGTGAAGTTAGGCTCCTGCTTGCCCTCATCCAGAGGTTCACAAAGACCTCTCAGTCCCACTGCCATGCTGCTGCTCCTGCCTTCATCCCACCCCTAATCCCACTGCTGCTGCAATACCACCTCTCACTACTGTAACACAACAGCCTCCTAAGTGAATGAAAGTTCCCGGAGCTGCTCCCTCTGTGCACTGGCAGAGTTACTGTCCTCGGACACAGGCTGTGATCTTCTATGCCCCTCCAGTGCTCCTGCTGATGGCAGCTCTGCACCCTCATCCCCAGCCCTCCAGGATCCAGTCCCAACACAGAGAGAGAGGTCCTGTCTACCTCTCACCACATGGTGCCCTCATGGCACCCCTGGTTCCTAATCCATTTGATAGTTTGCTTTCCTAATGACTTGAGATCTGTTCCCACCAAGAATATTTAGCCTTGCAAAACACATGAAATTAGAAAAGAGATGAGGGTATAATGACTAGAGACGTCTCCCCACACAGAGGCATCATGTCTCCACCTGCAATTTTGTCTTCAAACTCCAGGCTCCTATATGAACACTTACACGGTCAAGCAAAGCTACCCTTGATGGTGAGAAATAGGAGATGGGTAGACTATGGGCAAGGACACAGGATCTTGTTCTCCATTCTGTACTCAGCAGAGCCACCCATTATTTCAGGAGGTCTTCCGAGATCATGTATGTTCAGAGAACAAAGCCAGGTAGAGAAACCTTCTACGTGACTCTGAGGCTTTGGCCCCTGGGAAGCTGAGCTGATCTCCTTTCTCTTGGGTGGGAAGAGCCAGGGCAGCAGTACCAAAGCAAGCAGAGCAGCCCCTTTTCTGCATCCCCTAAGTCCATATCTGGTATTTGGATCTTACCACTCCGCTGGTGAGGAAAGTCAGTCCTGAGCACGCCAGCAGCAAGAAGAAGCAAGCACAAAAGCCATTAGAGGTGCAGCAAGAGAAAGAGCGTTTGCCACTAGGGCTGGAGCAGAGCTGCCAGGGTGCCCATCCCAGGCATTCAAAGTGGCAGGCGTGAGAGGCGGGGTGTCATCTTGGTCCCTCTAGATCCAGCTGACCTCGCCACACAGGAAACAGAGTATTTAAAGCAAGAGCTTCCCTTGTTTGACAGGGCCTCCTACCAAGCCAGAGCTGCCCCAGCCCCCTTCCGTCTCATAGATGGGGCAGCAAAAGCATCCCAAGACATCACTCCTTGTGGTGCCAAACCAACACACTGAACCCTCCACACTCCAGAACAGTGTCCCTGGAACTGGACACTGGAACCTTTCTCCTCCTCCTTGGAGGCCATTGTAGAAGGGTGAGGGTGGGGAGGGGAAGGAGAAAAGCCTGGGCTCCCTCCTCCCGCAGAGCACACCCGCCCTCCTGCCTGCTCAGGGCAGGCTCAGGGGGGTGCACAGTTCTTCCTCTGGTCCTGTCCTGACCTCCACTCCAGCAGTGAGAGTGCTCTGCTGGCTCTTTGCATATTTCTTCATATTTATTTCTAAGCCCCTAGTCAGCAGTGCCTAGTGCAGGAAGCTGGCAGGCACACTGTGGGGGACCAATGGATGAAAGATGGATGAGTACATAAATGGACCGGGATGAATGAATCCAGTCTAGAGTCTTTGCCATCTGTCTATGGATGTCACTTTTCCCCTACAGTTTTCCCAACTTCCAACTTGGAAGTTAATTCTAAGGAAGCAAACACAGAAAGGTACAAAGATCAGTCTGATATCCTGTTCTCGGAAAGTTCTCCAGATGCTCAAAGTTGAGTACAAAGACTTTGAACTAAGACTGTTATTCAACTGCAGAATGCCCAAACTTACAATTTATAAATATTAGCATTCATTCTAGAATGTTAGTACTTACAAATTATAAGCCTAGACAACTATTTTGCACATGAACTTTATGGCTACCCTGTATTATACATTCTTTCATCCAACGAGCGTTTCAAGTATAATTTGCACACTAGGCCCTGTGCTAGTACTGGAATTGTGGAAAACACTGGCACGATGCCTGTTCTCAGGGGGTGCACACTCCAACTGGAGTGCCCATAGGTGGCTGGACAAAACACACACAATACATGATAAAAGCATTCAAGTGAGGGTTAAATTGAGTTCTTTTTCTAAATTACGGTGAAAGTCAATTTCACCACCTGTGACACCCTTTTCATCTCATGGAGGAACTTTGAGATTCTAGAAGTTAACAGCTGGAGAATAAGTGCTAATAATAGGTATGGAGTTTCTTTTTGGCATGATGAAATGTTCTAGAATTAGATAGTGGCAATGACTGCACCACCTTGTGAAACTACTAAAAATCACTGCATTGTACAATTTAAAGGGGTCATGGTATGTGAACTGTATCTTAAAGAGGAAAAATATTAACTGCTACTTTCAGGCAATTTGAAATGTTCAGCAAATTCTAGAGCCTTAGCCTACCCACACACTGGGGCCCCTCTCACCTGTTCTCCTTTTAGTCCTGGAAATCCAGGCACGCCAGTGTCACCTTTTGGTCCTCTAGGGCCCTGGAAAGAATCATGGTAGGTTATTTTGTTGTTTAGGATTAAAATGCTTTAACCAATCGGAAAAAATTTTGTTTTCAAAAAATAGAATAGAGCGTGCCATTCCCTAGGCAGGTGGAAATCATGATGAGCCGCACTGTTTTCTTAACTTTAAGTAACTCAGAAACTGTGGTCTGGTAGAAAGAAGACAGCACTGGCAGGAGGCCGGGAGGCCCCATGCCTCTTTGAACATTAGTTTCCTCCAACTGCTACTGACACAGCCTATTACCTGGTCCTACTGCCTCTGCCTAGCTCATGGCTCCTCCGGATCACCAAGCAGCCTGCCTCCCCTACCATTCCCCTTTCAGGATTCCTGCACCTTCTGTGTCCCCCTCCCCAGGAAATGGCACCCTCATCTGACACCCCAGCCCGCCCCCGCCAGGCCTACCACCTCACCTTCCACCCCCCGCCCCCAGGGCTGCCTCCTTTTCCTCAGCCTCACTACACTCCCCACTTCTTTACTAGAACAATGCCTGGCAGGAATGCCCCTGCACCCCTCTGCAGTCAGCCAGAGGTGACCTCTTCTCAACTCCAGTACAGACACTGAATGTCTGTGACAATGACTCATACAGCCACAGCGTCAGTCCCAGAAAAGCACGTCAACACTTCATGGCTATGTAACTTTTCACAAGTCTCTGTTTTGTAAAAGGGGGAGTGACCCATTATAGCAGTGGCTTTCAAATATTTGTTATTATTGTTTATTGTGAATCTTTGTCTTGCCTTTTTATTCCAAATAAAGACGTAAATAAAAGCCATATATGTAAAGTACATCAAATGGAGCTCTCCTGATAGGAGGTCAGTGGCCTGCGTCTGACCTTTTTGGCCCCCTGCTTACTCCCCACAGTGGTCCTGGAGGCTCTTCTTCAAAGCCTGGGACTCCCTTGGGAACACAGAACCACTCATCTAGAGGAGGATGTGTTCTGGAACATGCTCCAGGGCTTGGGGCCGCCAGGCCAGGACTGCAGCTCAGAGCTCCAGACCCAGGCTCACCAGCAGCAGTTCTCGCAGCCACAGTCTTCTGTTTATTAATGTCTAGTTAACATGTACTTTCAGTGTCATGATAGGAGATGCTCCTTTAGAAAATGTGAAAAGCTCAGCAAATTATAAAGAAATAGAAAAAGAGACCACGTATAATTCTGCCATCAAGAACAACTGTCTCTTATATTTTTGACAAGTCTTCATTTATCTGGAGGCAGTGCATAGCACTGGCTGGCATTTCAAAGGGCAGTGGCTTGGAGAAATCATGGAGGTCCCACCCTGAAGTCAGGCAGAACTAATCACTATCTACAAAGAAATGCATTTTCACCTTCCAAGGTGAAAGCTTCATAAAAGTACACACTGTGTACCTCCCTCTCTCCATGCTCAATTGTCATCTCTTTAGGCACTTTATCTACTGGGACCTCATCTATTCAAAATGCTTGACTCATCCACTCCAATTCATAGCAAGCCAACTGCTGGCTTTGGTTGGTTCTGGGTAAAGAGATGTGAGCAAGACCCACCTCTCCATAATTATTTGTAGAACAGGTGAGGAAAAAAGACATGGACACAAACAACTGTTATTTAAGGCAGAAAAGAACCATAGGAGTTCTATAGGACTCAAAGAAGGGGACACTTCCAGGTGTCCCGTGAAAGCAATGACAAAATGTTGATGGACAGGATGGTGCCAGAGCCTGGTCATGCAGAGATGGAGGAAACGCCGTTCTAGGTGGAAGGCACAGAATAAGCACAGCCACGGGGTACAGGTGGAAGATGGCAGCTGGGTTACTTACTGGAAATCCTGGCAGCCCAGGAATACCGTCTGGCCCCTGTGATACACCAAAATAAAGCAGGTGGGATTAGGGCAGCATTTCCCAACTCAGCAGGAAATCGTGCCTTGGGGCCCACTCCCTCCTTGCACCTCCCAAAGGCCTAAACATGGCACATGGCAAGGCTCCATGGTGCAGATGGAAGGGAGAGGGTCCCTGCAGAATCACACGGCTGGTTAATGTCCGAGGTACTCCGACTTCACCCCTCCCTGGAGCCAGAGCTCAGAGCTTTGTCACAGCCTCTTCCCCCCAGAAAATAGCTAGACTATGAAATCTCTGGGGTGAGGAATACACCTTCATCCCTGATAAATAAACTCTGAGGAAGATTCAGTGGTGGGCTGGGATCTTTGGGATAGAAGATGTATGTTGGTGCGACTCAGTTCTTTTCCCTTAGTAGGAGTGAGAATTTTAAGGGACGAGCCATTTTAAAGTATCTCCAGGACATGGAGAGTTTGTGCTTCACTCCACAGGGGCCAAGACCCTCTGCCTGACAACACAAGACACTTCCAGCTATTAAAGGCATCAGAGTCTGGTAGGCTACGTACATATAAGTATATAAATGGGTAGGGAGAGAGAGGACACTAGATGGTGACAAGTGTCTCTGCATACAATATGTC